ACAGAGCAGCCTAACAATCTAAGCAGGAAATTAAAAAGGGCACTGGCAAAGGAGTGCACATAACCTTTACAGTTCTCTCCTCCCCGCCTCCTGAGGGCAGTGAGGCTGAGTCTGTTTGCCTAATGAGATGTTTTCCTTCTTTCTGAGCCAGTGCTGGGGGCATGGGTGCAGGATTCGGGTGACACTTGGCATGGCCGGTGCTAGGATGCCTGGGTCCTGGTCCCTGTTCTGCATCTGACTGAGAGGAAGGTCTTTTCACCAGCCACACCATGTGGATGTCGCGTCAGCTGCCCCCTTTGAAAGCCAGAGAAAAATAGCTACATTTCTGCTCCCACCCCAGGGGGATGGGGAGATTAATGAGAGAACGTTTGTCAAGTTTGCTTTGATCCTTGGTTGGAAAGAGCATTTCAGCCCAAAGTACAAGGGAGATGATTCTTTAATAAGATCTTCAGGATTTTCAGCCAGCCACAGTCACGTCCTGTTTCTAACCTAGGGCAGCTCATTAAAAACCCAGAGGCTAGTGCTCTGCTGAGCTGGGGCTGAGAAGCCAAGATTCAGTTGTTTTGGGGATGGCCTCCCTTGCCCAACAAGCTTGAGCTCTTCAGAAGCCCCTGGAGAAGAATTTCAGAGGACTTGAGGGGATCCCCCTGCAGACACTGGGAGCTGAGAAAGGTGGGGGATGTCCTACTTTTATAAGGGTCGCTGTAGTCTCCTTCATCCCTCCCTCACAACCCTCAAACATTTACTTTTTGTCCTTAAGCTCCAAGAGAGCAGGACCCTCTTCTGACATAGTCTGTGCAACCTAGGTGCCTGGGAACCCAGCCTAGCATGCAGCAGATGCTGAATTTGTCTTGTGAATGAATAAAGGCCAGGAAAGAGCAGAGTCTAAATCTAAAAGTCTAAAAATAATTATTCTTATAGCTAACATTTACTGAGTGCTTACTATGTATCAGACATTATGCTAAGTGCTTTACAAATGGTGTTTAATTTTCACAAGAATTGTTACATCCCTACTCTACAAGGGAAACAGGAGGCAAGTGATCTTGTCTCCCAGATGGTAAGCAGCAAGGCCAGAACTTGACCTTTTATCACTAGAGGCACTACTCCATCCTTAGGCTATTCTGCCCTGCACTTGGGTTTTACCAACTCCCCCACCCCTTGGTACCCATAATAGAACAGCATCCCAGGACCACTGATTCTTCCTATGTGTGGTTGTGCAGAAGAAGGAGTTTTGTTCTTTTGCTTTCTCAATAGACAATCATAAGGCTATAACTGATAGTTTTCTTTCTTTCTAATCTTATCATTTTAATTTATTTTTCTTGTCTTAGAGTTCTGGCTAGGACCTCCAGTATAATACTGAATAAAAGCAGTAATAGTTGAGTATTCTGTCTCTTTTCTTATTTTATAAAGAATGCTCCTATTATTTATATTTTATTGGTTTAAGAAAATGTATTTCCATTTCTAGTTTACCCATATATATATATTTCTAAAAATTATGAATGACCATTGAATTTTATTGAATTCTATTTCTATGCCTAACAGGATATTGTTTTCTCTTTAAATCTGTAATTGTGAAAATTGTATTAAGAGATTTTGTAATGTTAAACTATTCTTGCATTCCGGGGATAAACTCAACTTAGTTATGTTTGTTTGTTTTTATACATTGCTGGCTTCTAGTTGCTAATATTTTAAGATATTTACAACTACATTTATAAAAGAGACTGACTTATAATTTTGTCTCATTTTTGGTATCATAAAGTAGACCAAAACTGTTTTCTCCGTTGTTTTTAGGAAGTGTTTGTATAAGATTAGAATCGTCTTTTCTAATTGCCTGTAAGTTTCTGGTGGAATCTGGTGGGGGGTTTTGATGTATGTGAAGGTAGATTTTAAACCAATTCAATTTCCTTATTGGAAAATTGAATTCCTCAATGAAATAGTCCTAAGTCTATTCAAAACTTCCATAACTTCCTGAGCAGGTTTTGGTAAGTTGTTTTTTCCTAGAAAAATTTCCAAAAGCATTGTCAAAAAGGATGTTTCACTGAAGTTTCTCTCTCTTTTAATCTCTGTAACTGAAGTTATGTTCCTATTTTCATTCTTAAAATCATCTTTTGTGTTTCCTTTTTTTTAGGAGACAGAGTCTCGCTCTGTCTAAATTAATCCTATTATATATGATTATTAGTAATTACAAATTATATAGTAATTTGATATTTTGAACTATGTGGATCCATAGGACAGTCAAGGGCCCAGGAAGCTGAAAGTTGTTTTGCTTCTCACTCTTAGATTCCAACAAGCCTCCAGCCCACTGACTCTGAGAGATAGGTGTGAGCTTAACCAAATGCTGGATACACAAGTTGCAGCCTTCACTCAGAAAAAGGAAAAAGCAAAATCTTTCATCTTCCATGGTAAATAAACACTGATCTCCACGGCTCTTTTTTCTTTTCCTTTTTTTCAGAGACAGGGTCTCTCTCTGTTGCTCAGGCTGGGTTGCAGTGGCACAATCATAGCTCACTGCAGCCTCGAAACTACTGGGCTCAAGCAATCATGCCTCTCAACTAGCTGGAACTACAGGCGTGTGTCCACTGATTTCTCCATTTTTTTGTAGAGATGGGGTTTTACTGTGTTGTTCAGGCTAGTCCCAAACTCCTGGCCTCAAGTGATTCTCCCACCTCAGCCTCCCAAAGTGCTAGAATTATAGGCATGAGCCACCATACCCGGCCCTTTTCTTTATTAATATTGTCAGAGCATTGGCTTTTTTAATAGTCTTTTCAAAGATACACCTTTTGGCTAAGTTAATCCTCTCTATTATATAGTAAAATGCTATTTCATTAATTTCTTTTTTTAAAATAAAATATCTGTTCAACATTCAATATTTCATTAATTTCTGCTTTTAACTTCTTCATTTCATATTTTACATATGTATTCTGTTGTTCTGTTCTATCTTATTAAAGTTTGATATTTGCCTCACTTTCAGCTTTTTAAACAAATGTTCTCATGTAAGCATTTAAAATCATAGATTACCCTCCAAGTATTGCTTTAACTGCATTCTACAACTTTTATAAATAAGATTTTTATCGTTGTTCCATGCTAATTATCTTTTAATTGCAATTATGATTTCCTCTTTGACTAAGTATATTTTCCAAATGTGGATTTGCTTTTTTTTTCATTGGTATTTATAATTGCTTGTGGAAAGAGAATATGGTTTGTATAATACTCTGATAATTGTTTAGATTTGCATTATGGCCAGGTAGAGCAAAAAAATTATAAATGTCTATAAAAATATGCTATTAATACTTATATACCTTACAAAAAGGTATAAATGGATCTGAGTTGGATAATATAAAGATCAACATTTAAAATAACTTCCTGGGGATGGGGGAATTCAATAATGAAACAGGCAGAGAAGAACTGGATACCTTTATAGTTGTTGAAGCACAGGAAGCCGTGATGGCAGAAGAAATAGAACAGGGAGGAGACTGGAGAAAGCAATGTAACATTGAGGAGAAGCTCATTCAGGAAAATGTTGTGATGTTCTCCTCTGAGCTAGGCTTAACTTCTCTGTGCCTCAGTTTCCCAACCTGTAAATTGTAAATAATATTAGCATCTATCCCACAGGGTTGTGAAGATTAAATGAGTCCATATAAACTTGATAAGTGCTCAATAATTATTAGCCACCACTATTAGAATTATATGACATGGCATTTTCCCATGATGCCAGAAGACCCAGTGTCTGCAGTTAAATTCCCTAAGCACAGACCTGGTTTTATCTTTTCCATGTCACTTCAGTACCCTAAAGTTTCAAAGCTAAGAGGAGAAGCATCTAAGGAACAGTAGAAGAGGCCTGGTTTTCTATCATAAAGAAGTTCTTTCATTCGATTAAATATTTACTGAGTGCCCCAGTAACTAAGTTACAACCACAGGCACGTACAGCTCTGCAATCAGTTCTGTAAAGATGCGTGGAGAGAGGCTTAGCTACTCCATAGTCATGTGCAGGGGGTCTCAGGTCTCCAGTTCCAGTGTTCAGGAGGACTCAATTCTTCTCACACGCGAGAAGGACCTTTCGACAAAGCCGATGTACAGAAGGCCAGGTCTCAGTGCAGATGTGCAGGCCCAGTCTAGGTCCTGCACGCATGAGCAGAGAATCCCCATCTCCCGTACAGATGTGCGAGGAGCGCCCAGCTTCTCGCCCACTTCAGAGAGGACCACCCAGAACCTGCCCGGTCTCCGCGCTGCACCTTCAAGTCTAGCACAAAAAAGGCCTGGCTCAGGCTTCCGCCCTGAGCAACAAACGGTCAGCGCGTCCGAGACCTGAGCGCAGGAGTGCGCGGGGCCGGCTCCGCCGTAGGCCAGGGCTTACCCTTCGTCGGTTCCCCGCCGCTGGTGTCGCCGCTCGCTCGCAGGTCCCGTAGCCACAGACAGAAGCCCCCGACCGCAGGAGCGCGGGCCCCACACCTCCCCCGCCCGCGCCAACCTCCACCCGGCGCCACGCGTTCAAATTAGCCGGGCGGCTGGTCCGCGCTTCTCATTGGCCACCGCCTGGATCGCTGATTGGCTGTTTCCTGAGTAACCAAGTAAGCCGAGGTGGCTGGCGCTATTCACAGTGCGCTTGCGCACTTCCCATTCCTGGGTGCAGGCGGGTCTGAGGCAGCGCCTCCGAGGCTGACAGACCAGAGTGGCCGGCCGAAACCAGTACGGGGCTGGGATACGGGAGTCCACGACCCGTCTTTGTGGTCCCTGGAGCTGGACTCATTGTTAATTACAGCAACCAGACATCCAACAGGTTTTTAAGCCTGCTTTTTCTTGGGCTAAGTCGCATCCGTCTGTCTGAGGGAAGAGCCACTGTCCAGCGTCTCTTCTCTGTCGGGGACCATCCCAAGAATGAACTTCAAGGACCTCCTTGATGTGGCAAACCCGATGGACGTCAAGAATGGCAATTCCCAGTGCGGTGGCTCATGCCTGTAATCCTAGCACTGTGGGAGGCCAAGGCGGGAGGATCACTTGAGTCCAGGAGTTTGAGGTTGCAGTGAGCTACGATGACGCCACTGCACTCTAGCCCGGAGACAGAGAGGCAATTCCATCCGCGTGGCTTACACAGCGTCAGGAGCATCATGACTGAATGTTGTATATGAGGGTTGGCCCCGTGCAGCACCAATGGGCTGCCCTGTCTCCATCCTGAACAGCTGCCTGCTGCTTGGATTCTGGTGGGCCAACCTCATGTTGCTCTCCAACACCGGAGGTTGTGGTTGTCCAAGAATTGCCAATTGGCCCAGTCACTAACTAGTGCTGAGACTATGGAAGTCACTTTAGCTGAGTGTCAGTTTCTTCATCTATAAAATAGGGCAAATATCCTGCCCTTCCTACTTACCTAAGACAGCATGGATATGAAAGCCTCCAAAGCTCCAGCATAGGTAAGGGAATAGCTTTCTATGAATTCGATTTAGGACCAAGCAGGTGAAGGCTGCATTAGGCGCCAGTTGCTCACCACTTTCAGTAAACTTGATCTATCCCCACATTGAGACTGTGGGCATATCTGGGGCATGTAGGACAGAGAAAGGCAAAATTCCTTCATAGGACCAGCCATCAAGCTAATAGAGTCACTATTTAATAACCAGTTGACGTGGCCCAAACTCTTTATCCACCTCCCTGGACTTCAATTGCCTTCTACACAATAGAATAGCACTGCCAGTTTGGTGAGGTTAAAACAAGAAAACTGGCCAGGCACGGTAGCTCACGCCTGTAATCCTAGCACTCTGGGAGGCAGAGGTGGGCGAATCGCTAGAGGTCAGGAGTTCAAAACTAGCCTGAGCAAGAGCGAGACCCCGTCTCTACTAAAAATAGAAAGAAATTAATTGGCCAACTAAAAATATAGAGAAAAAATTAACCGGGCATGGTGGTGCATGCCTGTAGTCCCAGCTACTCAAGAGGCTGAGGCAGAAGGATTGCTTGAGCCAGGATGTGTATTTGAACAGAGCTTTGGACTCCCAGGAGCCCTCAGGAGCAAGTGCTTCTTGTGTCCTATAAGCCAGGTCTTGCCTTGGTCCTGCTCTGGATCAGACAATTAGCTGGAGGTGAGGTGAGTCAGAATGAGCAAGGGGCAGAGGGAGGCTCTGCTGTGGCAGTGGAAAGGGGCACTTACTTGCTGGATAATCTGGGGCAAGTCACTTAGCCTCTCAGAGCCTCAGTTTCTGAAGTTACAGAATAGGGAATAAAATAATACTTAGCTTGTTACAAAGGCTAGAAATAATGTAGGTGAAGCACCTTGCAGACATTCAATGAAATAAATGGTAATGGGTAGTCTCATATTTATTCAACAACTGTTTACTGATATGAGACAGGTAGGCTCAGAGGATAGGGTAGTGAGTGGTAAACACCCTCATCCTACCCTCATGGAGTTTGCAGTCTATGGAAGAAATTAGACAATTAAGTATGAACAATTACACGAGATACAGTCAATAATGAGAACATGGGGAGTGGGATGCTGGCTGAGGTCTGAGGGAGGATTGGAAGCTAGCCTGCCCAAAGAGGCTGTTCCTTGGCTCTCAGAAGACAAGGGAAGAGAATCTCACAGGTGAGAGAGTCAGCCTTGCTGCATGATGCTGAGGGGCCTCGGTAGGGCCTGGCCAGGCCTGCCTTAATGGACACAACTGGAAAACTTGGGGGTGTTACATCACAGGTGCTGAGAAGGGTAGATTGGTTTGGAACTGGCCCAACAAGAATTTCAAGGCCTAGAACCCTGATCTGAGGGCTGGGTACAGAACTTTTCCTTGTGTGGAGACAAGGTGATTCTGGGCTGATGTGGTTGGGGTGTGAAAGGCAGCAGGCTCTGTGCTCTTGTGAGGCATGTGAATGTCTCACTGTTTATGATTTCCAAGACCCTAGGTGCTCAAAGGAAGCAGAGAGAGGCATATCCTCCCACCTGCACCCTTATCACTGTACATCCTTTGCATTGATGTGTGGCATTAGCTACTTCTGATATAGACCAATTTTAAAAGGTCCTTGAATCAAGTACAAGACATCATTCTTTCCATCTTAAACCCAGGCCAAACTTCAAGGTCTGATCTGTCCTAGCACAGAAGTCAAACATGCTGAGGACTGAAAAGTGCTCACTGGTTTATCAATAAGTAGGTATGACTTGACAGGAGTGGCAAGGCTAGGTGAGAGTGGGACTTGAGGAAAAAGTGACAATTCTTAGGGCATTTGCCTGCTAAAGGGAGCAGAGAAATGAAGTAGTAGCTGGAATGGGTGAGCGGTTAAAGGAGGATTTTTCAGGATGGGAGAGATTTAAATGATGATGGGAAGGAGCTGACATAGAGTGAGCAGCTGAAGATTAATAGAGAGGTGTGATTATAGTGGGAGGTAGAGTGACATCCATCCCAATGTACCTGGCTGGGACTGAGGGGTTTCACAGATGATCAGTTTAGAACTGGGGCAGCCCTAAGCTAACAAAAATAGGTAGATCTTGCTGGTGGGAGAGCACAGGATGTATCTTCCATGCAGGCAAGAAAGAAGGAGGAAAGGAGGGGCACAGTAGGGCAGGAAGTTTATGAATTTTATGGTGGAAAGTTGACGGAATCTCCCTCTTGTGACTTCTGGCTTCTCTGTGAGATAGGAGATGTGCTCATCCATTGGATGGTTAGCTTTACGCTCTATGGCCCTTATGGCCCTTGCTCTGGGCCTGACACATACAGCTACTCAATAAATATCGGCTGAAAGGATCAGTGAATGAGTAAGATGGGGTTGGGTTCTGCATTGCAGACTGGGTACTCTGGAGCAGACTGGGACAGAGATCAGTGTACAGGAACTTTATTGGGGAATGCTCTTGGAATTAATACCTGTGGAAGAGAAGGGAAGGAAGCAGGATTGGGCAGAAGGAGAAGTTCAGCTGGGAGCTCTGAAGCTGGGAAGACACTTCAGAATTGTCCTGAGTAGGGGCTGGGGGCCAGGCAGTTAAACCCGCATGCTGATCAGTCATGGGAAGCAGGCTGCCCTGAGAAGGAGCAGGGCATTGAACAAGGCAGCTCACATCAACAGAGGAAATCCCTGAAAGGGGGCTGGTAGCTGACAGCCATCTGCTGGGGGAATGGATCCTTCAGTCCTGAAGGAGACCTGGGCAGTGCATCACAGCGTCCGTCACAGCAGGGAAAGGTGAAAGTTTAAGCAGAGTGAGAGCTGTTTGAAATAGCTGCTATATGGTAGAATGGTTACTATGTGCCAGACACAGTGTTACATGCTGAGTGAGACATTGTCTTACTTGGAAGATGCTCTCGGTCCGGCCTTGGAGACAGGTATATACCTACTGGGGGAGTCCAGGAAGGCTTCAAGGAAGAGCAGGCAATAGGCCTGGACTTAATAATGAGCAGGTGTTCGTATGGCTCTGGTCAGGCAGGGAGAGGTCTGTAACTCTCCCAGCCTAGGCAGTTTTCTTAGTCCAGGCTGGTGCTCCTCACTCTGGGAGCAAAGGAGCCTGTGCCTTGGGGGCCTGGAAAGGAGCCATTCACCATCTGGGAAGAGGCAGGAGGCCCCACCCTCGACATAAGCTGCCCAGGCAACAGGCATCATGGCAAGGGGTGCTAGGTGACTTAGGGAAGGAAAGACTGCTCTGAGTGGGAGAGTGTGAAATTCAACCCTTCCCCTCCTTGAAGGACAGAAATAAGGAAGGGCCATTCAAGAGGCCTGTGCCCTGAAAAAGTTAGCCATGTGACCTTGGGCAAGTTAATTCATCTCTCTGTGCCTGTTTTCTCATCTAAAAATGGGGATGAGGCTGGGCATGGTGGTTCAGGCCTGTAATCCCAGCACTTTGGGAGGCCGAGGTTGGAGCATCACTTCAGGTCAGGAGTTTGAGACCAACCTGGGCAATATGGCGAGATCCCATCTCTACAAAAAATTTTAAAATTAGCCAAGCATGGTGGTGTTTGCCTATAGTCCTAGCTCCTTGGGAGGCTGAGCCAGGAGGATTGCTTGAGTCCAGGAGTTGGAGATTGCAATGAGTTATAATTGTGCCACTGTGCTCCAGTCTGGATGACAGAGTGAGACCTTATTTCTTAAAAAAAAAAAAAGAAAGAAAGAAAGAAAAGAAAAAGAAAAAATGGGGATGATGACAGTAACTACCTTGCAGGATCATTGTGAGGCTTAAATGAATGAATAAATGCAAAATTCTTAGAACAGTGCATGATATATAAGCTACTGCTATAACTTTGCCATTGATACAGAGATGAGGGAGTATTTGTTGTTCCTCCAGTTTCAATATTTCCCAAGTCCTTGGACAAAAGGAGAGAAATCCCCCAGCTGCCTCAGTTCTACCCCTCACTGCCATCCCCCAAAGGGCAGCTTCAGCAAAAGCTCCGGGGATGGAGGCTTAGATTTTGGAGGAAAATATGGTGTTGTAAAACATTTCCAAACATACGAATAAAGAATATAAGCCCCACTTAGTACAGCTCCCTCAGAGGTAACCCGTGCTAACAGTTTGTAAAACCTTCCCTGCCCTCTAATACCACTGTGTCCTGGATGTATCTGTATGATCCCTGCAGGTATCTTGAATCTCTGGGTGCATTTGCATTTTGCTTTATAACTTACAAAACAGGTTGTCATCTGTTGCCTCACAACAGCCCTTCAAGTAGATAATTTTATTATTCAGCTGCATTTTGTAGACGGGGAAACTGAGACTCAGAGAGGTGATGTGTCTTTTACTGAAACACTGAGTATGGTCAGGACTTGAACCCAGTTCTCCTGTCTCCACTTCCTGTATGTCTCCTGGGTCCTGCTATCTCTGGTTCTGCCCTCAACCAACCTGAGCAAACTTGGGCTCTCTGGTTCTTAGTTTTTCCAGCCGTGTAATGGGAGTTGCCCATTCTGTTGCTTTCATTCTCAATTTTGGCAGATGGGGCAAAGCGAGGATATGGAAAGTGTGGGGTCGGCAGCCCTCTGATCTCTTTCTCCTCCAGCCCCCAGCTGCCACCTCTCAGTAACCCTTCCACCCCCTTCCAGTTCCAAACATGTGTAGACTTTTCACTTCCACTTTATTATCACCTCATTTGTGGGATTTTAAGGTTACCTGGAAAGGAGCGAGGAACTCACACCTCCAATTCCACTTTTCAAATATACCTTCATCACTTGTGAAAATAACCTTATTAACAGAGTCTAACCTGCTACAGCTTTATCTGCGGGGGGCACCCAGATAAATAAATACAGAAAGAACCAGGACATGGGAAACAACACAGCTAGCTGGGGTAGTGCAGCCTCTGGACCCCTGGAATTTTCTCCTAGCCCTTGGGGGTCTTGTTGGCAGTTTCAGCAGAATTTAGGCGAAGCCCAGAATAGCTTTGAGCAACTGGCCGCCTTCTCTGTGCTTTTACTCCTCCTCTGGTGCTCAGAGCTCCTCCAGGAAACAGCTCCTGTGCCTCCCCAACTC